AATACCTGGACCTGTATGAGCAAGTTCTGTCATGCGATGTAGTACCCATTAGAAATTTCAAATTTGAAACATTTCCTGTGAAAAGAGTGACACAAAACATCAGAATACCGAATATCTGGAGCTATGCGGGTTGTGATAAAAAAAAACTGGAACCAAGCCAAACGCCATAATTTTTACATTTTTTATACCCTCCACCTTGGAAACCCTCCACCTTGGGTATATTAACTTTGTCATTCCGTTTGTAACATCCTTTAATATTCGTCGTAGACTCCATAAAGTATATATATACATAATCAGCATAAAATTCTAAGTCGATTTAACGATGTCCGTCCGTCTGTCTGTCTGTTGAAATCACGATACAGCCCACATTATTTGACGCAGAGCGCCAAAATTTAGCAGTGCTATTTATATTGTGTCTAGGATGGTTGATATTGAAAATGAGATGTATCGGTCTACGTTCTGGTATAGTCCCCATATAACGGTACCTCCCGATATTCGGTATTTTGATTATTTATGCCACATTTTTTCACGGATTTGTCTGAAAATTGGTACCTGTAGATCATAATGGGTCCCTGTGCGTGTGGCAAAACATTGCATGTATGGGTCCACGTTTTGGTATAGCCCCCATATAAAGGTGCCTCCCGATATTCGGTATTTTAATTCTTTTGCCACATTTTTTCACGGATTTGTCTAAAAATTGGTATTTGTTGGTCAGCTTTGTTGGGTTCCAGCTCCGGTGGCGAAACATTGCATGTATGAGTCCATGATTTGGTATAGCCCCCATATAACGGTACCTCCCAATATTCGGTATTTTGATGGTTTTTGCCACATTTCTTCTAATGTTTCCTTTGCCCTAAGGTGGAGGGTATTAAAAGTTTGGCCCGGCCGAACTTAATGTTTTTTACTTTATTTTTTTTAGTTTTATTGAATAAAAGCAAAAAATGAAATCAATTTTTAGAATAAGTTTAGATATGTTCGAATTGGTAACCTTTAGCACGAATTATGGCCTTCAAACGGCCAATGAAACCGTCACACGCTGCCCGAATGTTGATCTGCGGTTTTTTGGTTCATTCCCGGCGAAGCGCTTGCTTGAGGTGACCGACACTTTGGTATTTTTTAGTGCCAACCATGCTTTCCAAAATACTCCAGACACAATAGTCCAACGGATTAGTATCTGGAGATTTTGGTGGCCATTGTGCGCTGGAAATGAAGCGAGGAACATCATTTTGTAACCATTCTTAGGTGGCGCGACGGTGCTGAGTCCTGTTTGAAGGTTCAAGGTCTGCGGCCAAAATGTTTGCGTGCCCAAAGCTTTAATACATCGTCCAGAATATTTTCACGATAATATTTGGCATTTATTCTGATGCCACGGTAGATTAATACAAGCGGAGAGCGACCATCGGCTGTTATGGCGTCGCACACCATCACCATGGCCGGCGCTTGAGTTCTGGTGGCCAACCGAAGGTGCACATTTTCAGTTAACCTCTTTACTTTTCGAGCCATTTCTGCTGATGTTGCTGTTTTCTTCCGTCCACTTCCTTGACGTCGAGCTACACTACCAGTATCACGGAGTGATGATACGAGACGCAAACGATTTATTCCACTTGTGGTTTTCCAGCCAAATATAAAGAAATGAGGGTGCAAGTACATAAGAAGCTTGAAGTCATGGCTAGGCATATTTTGTGACATTTCATAAAGGGATTACAGAGCCACACTAAAATCCTGCCGTCGTTTTCCTTTATAATTAAACACTACTATGCCTAGCCATGATTTCAAGCTTTTTATGTACTTGCACCTTCACATTATCACGCTTGAATTCCATCAAGAATAGCTTATTTTCTGAAAAATTCTAACTAAAATGCTTTTGTTCGCTTGTAAACAATATAATGGGCTGTTACTGGAATAACTTAAACAGCTGTCAGACGAGTGGCTTAGAAATGACAGTTTTTTCCATCTCACCTTGTAGTTATATGGGGACTATATCAAAATGTAGACCTACATTGAAAGTTCTACGCAAGCAAATTCGGGTTAAAATTGTGACTAAAACACTAGCCAGTGCCTGTTAATTCGACAGCGAAAAGTCTACCATAAAATTTTAGATTCGTTGCAACAGTTCGTGTAAGGTCGTTTTAGTTCTCAAAATTCTCAATTTCACTTCATACATAATTTTCAATTTTCAACGTTTTAGATATTATTTAAATGTTTCCTTTTTCGGAACAAATAATAGGAAAATGTTTACCTTTTACAGCAAACAGTCTTAAAAATCTTTTATTTTGAAGTTTACCGAGGAGGATGCTATTAAATCCATTGCACAATAGACCCACATCCAATATTTCTGTCCAAAACGATTTCAACGTCTCCATTTGTGAACCCTAGAAACCAAGAGTAGCCTTAATATCAATTTTCAGAATTTCAGCTCTATCCCTTCAAACGAAACCAAATTTAGTACGTATATCCAAAACAATATATATCTCTCCATCATAGACACCAACTGTGATTCGAAATTAGTACCAATTGGTACTTTTCCTTCAAATATACGCATTTCCAAACCGGTGCCCACATCTCGAACATAGATATCAACAGGGACCTCAATGTCAAATTTCGTGATTTCAGCTCTATCCATTCATCCAAGCACTATTAATTCACCCAATATTAAATGTAGAAAATATAGTACTATTTAGTACTTTTCATGCACTTGTAGTACGCATCTCCAAAACGACATGCAAACCTCAATCCTATACACTAACAGTGATCCCAATGTCAAATTTCAGAGTTCAAGCAAAATCATTACCTTTTAGGTACTTTCGTACGCTTGCCGAACGAATTTCCAAACCCAAACTTTTATCTTAACCCCACTCACCAGTAGAGACCCCAATACCAACATTTCAAATTACCAGGTTCTTCCGTTCACCCAAAGTGGAATGGTGTCAAATTTATTACCATTTAGTATAGTCCCAAAAACCAATTTCTTACATCAACCCCATTTTCAAAAATTTATTACTATATCAAATTTCAAGATTTAATTCCAAATTGTACCAAATTTAGTGCATTTTAGCATTTTTGTTACGCGTATTGTTAGGATTTCGAAAACCCCTTTAGTTTGTCTATCCTACACAACATTTAAGACTCTCATTTCAAATTTCATGTTTCAGGCTCAATTCCATCCCCAAATAGCAAAGTTATTACTATTTAGTATTTTTCGTACTTTCTAGTACGTACTTCGAAATACCCCGCCATGTATCAACCAAACCGCACAAAAGGTTATCCTAATAACAAATTTTTGGCTTGCAACTCAATCACTTGCCCAAATACCAGATGTAGTTCCATTAAGAAACCCCAAACCTCAAGCCTACACTATAATAATTATCCTAATGCCAAATTTCGGATTTCAAGTTGTATCCGTTCACGCAATGCTAATTTTAGAATCATTTAATGCCTTTCGTATACTTACTGCACTCATTTCCAAACTCAACTGCTTACCTTAACCCCACCCACCAGCAGAGACTCCAATAACAACACTTTAAATTTCCAGATGAATCCGTTCGAAAAAAAATCTAATTGTACTAAATTTAGTACCATTCAATACCATTTCCGAAAACACCTACTTACATCAACACTACTTCCCAACGACACTAATTTCTATACCAATTGTCAGAATTTTAGCTGTATTCTTTCACGAAATAGCAAAAGGTATGGAAAAAAAAGAAATTTAGTTCTTTTCAGTACTTTTAGTAACTTTTAGTCCGAATTTCCAAAATTCCAGACTTATCTCACACCAAGCCACAAACATTGACCCACATGCAAAATTTCAAGATTGTAGCTTCAGCTGTTTCGCCTTGGCGTTGATGAATCCGTCAGTCACTCAAGTCATTAGGTTTGTCTGCGACGCGGAGTCTCGAACCGCCAATCTCAAGTTTTGTAAGACGGATGCTCATTATTTGGTAATAGGAAAAGTATGTTCTATTGCTTTGTATTTTTTTAGTAATGACCTACTGTTTATGCAGGGGGTAGTTTGTTTGCATTACCTTTAAATGTATTATTCGCTTCATGTAGCTTCTATATTCTCATGGCCACAATAATGACATTCCAAAAAGTTACACCCTTCGCCAACATCTTGTTTTGAGCTGTTAAAGCAGCTGCGAAAAAAAGTTAATTCACTGACGTCTTTGAGTCTTGCCTTGCATTCGAACTGAGGCTGGTAGCTATGGTTATGAATAGCTACTATTTTTTTTATTGGCATTATTAGTTATTAGCTAGTTATTTGTCAGAGTGTCATAGCAGCTACTTGTGTTGTTGTTGCTGTTATTATGTTTATTGTGTTGCAGCAGTTTCCAATGGAGTGCTACGGGTCGTTCGTTGTGCTAGCAATCGTACAGCTGTTAATAGTGTTTATTTTTCAGATTTCCATATCAATATCTGCTGCAGTGGATTTTCTCATTGTACTGTGGATGCATAAACGCTTTGAGGCAATCACGTTTTAAACATTACTTTAATTGTTTAATAATTTTATGCTTTATGCGCCGACCTGGCTGTGAACTTTTTTCTATGATTTTTTGCACTTTTAGTTTTACATATTAATTTATATTACATGCAGATAAATTGTTTATAGATCTTTTTGTTAACATTGTTCTATTTTTAAGTGTAGCATTTTATATGGCTTTAATTAAAATCGTGTTTTTTGGTTTCTTTGATAAATTCAATATCAAAGTTATGAAATATTGTTATTAATTATGTACGAAACTATTACGATGGATTGGAAGAGATAATAAATTGTGAATTTAATATTTTATGAGAGCTAAGGAAAGGTACAACTAGTCTGGTTAGATTTATTTGATTTTTTTGTGTCCATGGAATTGGTTAGACAGCTTAATTCCAAAATATATGTATGTTCAGTAATAGCCTGGTTACAAATAATCATCATATTTTACTTGTGGTCTACTCATAATCTCATATTTTTTAATTTTTATCGAATATAAAAATGGAAACTAATACTCAATTCGTTTTAAACTTTTTTCGCAAAGTTTCCTTTATTAAAAAATATACCATACTTGCATGATTGGTTTTTCACATAGTCTTATAGTCAATCAAGTAAAACATAATGCGGCGAATCTATAACAATTCCGTACAAAAAAAAAATGAATTAAGCTAACAAGCATTCCGGGACAAAAACCCTTTTTAACAATCTTATTATGTACTCATTAATTTACGTTTTCTTTCCAATTTCAGTTCTCGCTTCAAGGCTTTCTGTTCCAACTCTTCGGCGTGTTCGGCAAACAATGAACGCATTACAGGATACATTAAATGGAAATTGTGCAAGTCGTCCAAAGAGATTTGCATATTATCAAAGGCTATGGAAACATTCGACATTGAACAGGTATTATCTTCATTCATGGAGAGACGTGGTAGTTTGGCATAACGTTGAGAGAAATGTGTAAGAATAATATGCTTTGCATTCATGGCCTGGCCCTGTTGTATGGCCTGCGAGATTGTGCTATGCATTTTCAATTTTGCCTCATCAGCCAAATCATCTTCCATGGTGGCTTCGTGTATAAGTATCGTAGAATTAAGGCCCAAATCCACAAGATCCTTGCAAGGCATTGAGTCACCGCTATAGGTCACAGTTATGGGTTCTTCTTGCCCACCCTCAACTGGACTAATACTTAGCTTAACACCAAATGAATGTGGACAATGTTTTACCATACAGGTTTGTATGGCATCAATGCCCAAATCTTGATGACTTTCTTTCAGATTTATAGGTTCGTCTAGCATATCGGCATTACCAATCAATTCATACGAATCTTTTATATTGTGAATGCAATTTTGATAGAAATTTAACCAGGGTTCAATTTGTTTTGGTGCCATAACCAAGACTTTCTTTAAATCTACTTTCGCCTCAGCTGACAACTTGATTCTCTCCGTGAGCAAACCAATTAGGCCAATGTGATGATCGGCATGTAAATGTGAGACATAGATAATTTTTAAATTTCTAATCACATCCTTGGCCTTGGTCATGCCAAACATACGCTCTATTTGGCCGAGAGTACCTTCACCACAGTCCAACAAAACATAGCCATTTTCTTGGGATTGTACCAGTATTGAACTAACATTCCGTGTCTTATTGGGTATACAAGAACCAGTTCCAAGGAATGTTATAATGGGATATTTAGCACTTGGGATTGCAGAGGGGGAAGTGGTGTTTAAATCAGCTTTGAGTTTTTCCAACATACTTGGGAAATCGGGTAAAATTTGAGTTTCATTTATATACTCGCTAGGCTGCAACTTGGCTTCAGATGTGCGATCCAAACCTGAAAGAAGAGAGGTATATATTAGTAAAAAAGGTGGGATTAAAAAAAAACTAGAAGAGAAACATCAAACGTAAACTCTGAAGCATCCAAGACGAACCAGAAATACAGGATGAGATAAAAAACTGCAACAAAGACAAACGCCATAATTTCTAATTTTTATACCCTCCACCTTGGAAAGGAGGGTATATTAACTTTGTCATTCCGTTTGTAACATCCTTAAATATTCGTCTTAGACCCCATAAAGTATATATATTCATAATCAGCATAAAATTCTAAGTCGATTTAACGATGTCCGTCTGTCTGTCTGTCTGTCCGTCTGTCTGTCCGTCTGTCTGTCTGTCTGTCTGTTGAAATCACGATACAGCCCACATTATTTGACGTAGAGCTCCAAAATTTAGCAGAGCTATTTGCATTGTGTCTAGGATGGTTGGTATTGAAAATGAGATATATCGGTCCACGTTCTGGTATAGTCCCCATATAACGGTACCTCCCGATATTCGGTATTTTGATGATTTATGCCACGTTTTTTCACGGATTTGTCTTAAAATTGGTATTTGTAGGTCATAGCAGGTCCCTGAGCGTGTGGCAAAACATTGCATGTATGGGTCCAAAATTTGGTATAGCCCCCATATAACGGTACCTCCAGATATTCGGTAATTTGATGATTTTTGCAACATTTTTTCACGGATTTGTCTGAAAATCGGTATTTGTTGGTCATAATGGGTTCCAGCTCCGGTGGCGAAACATTGCATGTATGGGTCCATGATTTGGTATAGCCCTCATATAACGGTACCTCAAGATATTCGGTATTTTGATGGTTTTTGCCACATTTTTTCACTGATTTGCCTAAAAATTGGTATTTGTGGGTCATAATGGGTCCTAGTTCGTGTGGCGAAACATTGTAATTATAGGTCCACGTTTTGGTATAGCCCCTATATAACGGGACCTCCCGATATTCGGTAATTTGATGATTTTTGCCACATTTTTTTCACGGATTTGTCTGAAATTTGGTATTTGTTGGTCATAATTGGTTCCAGCTTCGGTAGCAAAACATTGCATGGATGGGTCCATTATTTGATATAGCCCCCATATAAAGGTACCTCCCGATATTCGGTATTTTGATGGTTTTTGCCACATTTTTTCACTGATTTGTCTAAAAATTGGTATTTGTGGGCCATAATGGGTCCTAGTTCGTGTGGCGAAACATTGTAATTATAGGTCCACGTTTTGGTGTAGCCCCCATATTACGGTACCTCCCCATAATCGGCATTTTAATGGTTTTTGCCACATTTCTTCTAATGTTTATTTTACCCTAAGGTGGAGGGTATTAAAAGTTTGGCCCGGCCGAACTTAATGTTTTTTTTACTTGTTTTTTTTAATTCTATTGAATGAAAGCAAAACGTATCGAAATAACATCAAATTTTAGAATAAGTTTAGATTTGTTCGAATTGGTCACATTTGGCACGAATTATGGCCTTCAAACGACCAATGAAACTGTCACACACTGCACAAATGTTGCTCTGCGGTATTTTGGAACATTCCCTGCGAAGCGCTTGCTTGACGTGATCGACACTTTGTCATTTTTTAGTCCCAACCTTGCCAAAATACTCCAACGGATTAGTATCCGGAGATTTTGGTGGCCATTGTGCGCTGGAAATGAAGCGAGGAACCTCATTTTGTAACCATTCTTGTGTGACGCGTGCTGAGTGCGATGGTTCTGAGTCCTGTTGGAATGTTCAAGGTCTGCGGTCAAAATGTTTGGGTGCCCAAGGCTTTAATACACCCTTCAGAATATTTTCGTTAATATTCGGCATTTATTCTGATGCCACGGTCGATTAATCCGAACGGAGAGCGACCATCGGCTGTTATGGCGGCACACATCATCACCTACATGAGGAGGCGAAGGTCTTACCGGTGCGACAGTATAACAAAATGCTGTCAATGCAATACCTGCTTGCGTGTTATTGACAAAGCCATCCAAATCATTATCTTGTGGATAGGCAACCTAAACCCAGGCACGTTAGGAAAGACCTTCATGATCTAGAGAGAGAGGTACAGAGGTATAACAGAGAGCCTCTAGATCTACAGGCCTATCAAGCGGGACTGAATAGTATTCACTCTAATGCGGTTTCAGAAGCCATTGAAGGATATAGAGTGAATACTGGGCGTCGCAGCTGAAGAACGAGACCTGCCCCGACAAACCCGAGTAGTCTTGGCTCAATTACGATCCGGATGGTGTAGCCGCCTAAATTCCTACTGGGCCCGGATTAACGGCGACGTGCAGAACATCTGCCCAGCATGTGGCACAGGCCCACATGACACGCTGCACCTATTTCGCTGCCCAGCCAAGCCTACTCACCTAACTCCAGTCTCGTTATGGACACAACCCATACAGGTTGCATCCTTTTTGAGACTGGACTTAGAGTCAGAACCTGATTGAACTGAGTCAGAAAATGGAAACCGAACGAATACGGATGTATGAGCTGCTACAACAACAACAACCATGGCCGGCGCTGCTGGATCACCACTTTCGGCCAAGCGAAGCAATTCTTTGGCACATTTGAGTCTATTTTCTTTCTTTTGCGGTGTAAGTTCTTGCACTTTTTGGAATTTCAATTGCTTTACCCGGAGCTCATTTTTCAATATTTGCCGAATGGAATGTTGCGATATGTTCAGTTCACGAGCCCCATTTCTGCAACTGCGACGAGGTTTTCGATCAAGTCGCTTCTTTACTTTTCGAACCATTTCTGCTGATATTGCTGTTTTCTTCAGTCCACTTCCTACGCTACCAGTATCAGGGTAACGAGCGATGGTTCGAGACACAGAAGAGACACAAATGCTTTTGTACGCTTGTAAACAATATAATGACCTGTCACTGGAATAATTTTAACAGCTGTTGGACGAGTGGCTTAGAAATGACATCAGTCTGAAGTTGTTTGCAGTTTTTTTCGTCTCACCCTGTATATATGAGATTTTTACAAAAAAAAAAACGTCAAAATCACTGAAGGACTGTAAAGTAAAATTTTCACTCCCTAGTGGATGTTTAGATTCCTGATGGACTAACTGCATGGCTCGAGGTATGTTTAAATAGATCTCCCCAACAAGAAGAACGAATAGTATCCCAAAGGGAAGAACTCTCTATCTTACTATTTTAGTTTTATTTCAACAGTCATCAGATGTCATTCTCAGTTGTGCCAGAATCGTCATCACATGTCGTTAACAGCAACAGTGCATGGAAAAAAAAACGAAGTCATTCTTCCTCTAGGTATAAAATCATGTGTGAAGCTATCAACAATTTTAAATACTGCACTCAAAATAGCTACAGATTGCTACCCAAAGAGCCGATCTGAAGAAACCTGCTGAGCCTAACCATAACTACGCTGGCTATGTCCAAATTATATATATGTTGACTTCTCTGGCGAAAGAAAATCGATTATGACTTCATCCATAAATATTTTAAAAAGTGGACACCTATAATATGCCTCATGAATATGCCCCATCGTCCTCTAGAACTCTGGGAACTCAAACATACTGTAACGAAGCTTCGCGTTCATAAGTTGTCTTTGCAACCATCCAGTAGTACATGATTGATCTGTAGAGGACAATGACAAACTCAATGTCAAAGGTAATGTAGATTGTGTGAAGGGACAATCGAACAATGTAGACATTTAATTAGATAAAGAGGTCTTAAAAGTAAGTTTCCATTTCCAATAACTAGACCATAACGATGGAGAACATTCCGAGCAAAAATTTTAAACTTAATGCCTAACTATCAATGGAATCTGTTCGATATAGAATATATTCTAGATTATGAGAATTCTTCTTGGATACATTTCTGCAAAAGCCCTAACTAGACCTTAAATCATATCAAGATTATGACTACCACTCTCTCCACTTGCAGCATCAAATATCACACTCACCCTTTCTTGGCCTCAAATGATAAACACTCATTGTGCTCAAATCATTTAGTCTTTGTTCAAATCCCGATGATTCTGAGTGTCTAGAAACGGGTTCCATTTCATTGACTGCATCCTCATCATCCAATTTGGTTTTTTTCATTTTGCTGCTCAAACCGCCCAAAAGATTTGTTGCCTCTGCCAAAATTGGAAAAACTTTGGGATTCAATTGATTCAGCTGATATTGTATGCGATGAGCAGCGATATATCCCGAAAAAGTATTTTGTGCGGCATTCAAGAAAATATGTTGGGTTGATGGTGCAAATTTTTCCAAAAATGTTTTGTAGACATTATTGCTCAGCACCTCTGCTGGGGCAAAATGCACCATTAAGGCCAATTCTGGTGTTTTGTCTGGATTGATGCGGGTATTGACAAGCAATTCGTGATGTTTTTCCAAATTATCCAAAAACTCCACTGACGGTATATCGAGGAAGATAAATGACAATGGATTTTCATTTGGTTCGCTGACATCGGCAGATTTGACCACGGTGCCATTTTCCAATGTTACATCAATGCCATTTTTCAAAAGACCCAACAGGGGTCCAGGTGGCACACCATGTTCTACACATTTTTCCAGATTAAGTGGACCAGGACGTGGCTTCAATGTGCATACATAGGAAATTACCACCGATTCTTGGCTATTGGTGTCATTTGCCTTTGTGCTATACAGTGGCAAACATTTTACATTCATTACAGAATCCTCGAAATCTTGCGACAACGTGCAGTCGACAGTCTTCAACTGAAGAGGAAACAAAATAATTAATCTTTCAAGATATGTGTTCTACACTCACTCACTCACCTGTAAACTCTTGAGTACCACAAACTTCTTCATAGACATCAAAATGCTATCAATGTATGGTGGACCATGTAAAGACAGTTCCTTCACCCCCGCATCCTGAACAGTCAAGGCCAAGCCAGGTATACCCCCAATCGTGGGCCATGTGTTGCGTGTAACAAAAATCTGTTCCAGACGAGCTAATTTAGTCTTGTGCTCATGGGCCAAACGCTGGGTGCCCTCACCACAGTTGAACAGATAACGCGATTGATCGGTAAACAAATAAACTGAAGCCGGCGAACCATTGGAGCCGCCTCCCAAAATTTGCAGTGTCACTGTGCCTGGTATATATGGAACAGCTTTCTTTTTGGCTGCCTGTTGTTGACGCTCTTTCCGCAAAACTATGGGCTTATCACCCTTCTGTGTTTTGTTCTTTACCAGTTGCTGCTGCTGCTGATTTTCTGTCGCACTCATTGCTTTGCCGGCTGTAGCACCTCCTCCCTTTGAGTTTATGAGTAATTCCTTGAGATGCTCTTTGCTTTTGCCACGTATTGCGTTTCGTAAAGCGGTGAGCAACATTCGTAAATACTTTTTTCTTGAAAATGGCCCACACAACCTCCTCTAAAAATTACGAAATTGCCTTACACGTGAAGCCGTTGTTCCTTCACCGTCGTCAAACCGCAAATAAAAATACATGTGTTGTTTGTTATGAATGTAGGAAATGGAGCAACTCGCAATCATGTTACGAATAAAGGAAGAAAGCAATACAAAATAAAACTTTAAACAAAGCAGAAAATGGAAATAGATGCAAGGTATTCCTTTAATATCAACGGAAATCGTTTGTCAAATTACCAAATATATTAGCTTCGTTCCATTACGAAAAAAGTATATTATCATATTTGTAAATACAAAATAAAAAAGATTTCAAAAAAAAAAATAAAAACGAAATGCTGTGACAATGTAGAATTATGAAGGTAGCCTTGTTTAATCATATGTTTCCATTCTTGTTTTTAATTAAACTTTGGCAACATAAATAAATCACATAATCATAAACCAGAGAAGAAATCGTGTTTTCTATGTATCGGAATTTGTCTAGTCAAATTAAAGACGGATATCCCCATTTGAAATTAGGTTATGCTAATGGAACAAAGGGAAATGTAGTTTAACTTCAAAGGAACTGGGAATAAGCAACTCTATACTAGTGCCGTATTGTTGCTCTGTTCCACGAAACATGAATGAAAATTTGGGATAATTCCACGAAATTGAATCCAAGATAGAAGGATAATATTGTTTTATCCCAAAATTACAAAGGTTGTTGCCCATTAATACAGAAAATATGAATTTATTTTTTACTACTTGTCGACCGCCGTAGTTCCGAATTCTAAGCAATTAGTCTGAGGGATTTTGTTTTTTTTCTCTCCGTTTTTTCCCTCAGCCAAACGCCATAACCTTTGACATTTTACATTTTTTTTTTTATTTTGTTGAATGAAAGCAAAAAATGTGGAAAATAGCATAAAATTTTAGAATAAGTTTAGACCTGTTCGAATTGGTTACCTTTGGTATGAATTATGACCTTTAAACAACCAATGACACCGTCACACGCTGCCCGAATGTTGATCTGCATTATTTTGGTCCATTCCCGCTTGAGATGATCGACACTTTGGTATTTTTTAGTGCCAACCTTGCGAGGAACCTTATTTTGTAACCATTCTTGGGTGGCGCGTGCTGAGTGTGATGGAGCTGAGTCCTGTTGGAATGTCCAAGGTCTGCGGCCAAAATGTGTGCGTGCCCAAGGCTTTAATACACCCTCCAGAATATCGCGATAATATTCGGCATTTATTATGATGCCACGGTTGATTAATACGAGCGGAGAGCGAGCATCGTCTGTGCTTGAGTTCTGGTGGCCATTCGAAGGTGCACATATTCAGCTGACCTCTTTGGCAAGTAAACACGATCATTTTGTTTCCAAACTGCTGGACAGCGAATGGTTTCTCATCGGAGAAAACCAAATTTGACAATTCACCACTTTTGGACAAGCGAAGCAACTCTTTAGGTCTTTTTAGTCTATTTTCTTTCTGTTGCGGTGTAAGTTCTTGCACTTTTTGGAATTTCAATGGCTTTACCCCGAGCTCATTTTTTAATATTTGCCGAATGGAATGTTGCGATATGTTCGGCTCACGAGCCATTTTTCAGCCACTGCGACGCGAGTTTCGATCAAGTCGCTCCTTTACTTTTCGAACCATTTCTGCTGATGTTGATGTTTTCTTCCGTGCACTTCCTTGACGCTAGCAGTATTACGGTAACGGTTACGGTTACGGAGTGATGGTACGAGACACAAAAGATTTATTCACAATGCTGGAGTGCTCTAACGATAGCCACTTGTGGTTTTCCAGCCAAAAATAAATCACACTATCTCGCTTGAATTCCATCACGAATAACTTTTTTTCCTGAGAATTCTCACCAAAATGCTTTTGTACGCTTGTAAACAATATTATGAGCTGTCACTGGAATAATTTTAACAGCTGTCGGACGAGTGATAGCAGTCTGAAATTGGTAGCAGTTTTTTCATCTCATCCTGTATACCATGGTAGAAGAATATAGGCAGACGCATCGACGCAGCTGCTGGGACAATGAACTGTCAAACCAATTCTGGAATTGAAAATGTTAAATGAAAAATTATTTAAATTGGTAAAAATGTTTAAAAAGGCATATTCTAACAACCTCCGAATGACGTCGTATAAGAAAACATATAAAAATGTACTTATATTTGGAAAGAAATTTAAATTTTGTTGATATATCAATGCTCCCAAGCGTTGATACATCTACCTGTATTTTTCTGCCATTACCAATTTGTTTATGATTTGAAATTCATGGAAACTAATTGAAACGATGACTAAAGCCAGTCAAAAAAGCGTTTTATGAATTCTCACCTTTAGTTGTAGTTCTCGAACCAAATAACCGAATAACCAGTTGAAAAATGTTGGCAAAATCTACACAATAACTGAATTCTGAAATAAAACGAAATTTCGCGCTGATAATTTAATGCAATGAAATGAAGTCCAATTCGACTGAAATTCGTGTTGATAGTCTTCTACCAACATTTTCGCAATATAAGCCACTATATTGTCGATCTTTATACTTGTCCTAGCTGCCGTAAAATTTTACATTGAAGCAAAATTCAACCATTCCATAACCCAATCTTACATGACTCATGAGGCTAATATTTTTCCTTGACTTTTATATCCTCTAAAAGGAGTAAAAATTACCAAATATTTGGTTATTTCTATTTTTTTGCCAGCAGCACGCTCATATTACAGGAAGAACTACCAAATTTAAATTTGACTATTAATGGACATCGCATAAGAAAATTGCAATATTGTATTATTACCTTGATAGTTGTACCATGATTCAATCCATGGTAGAAGAATACAGATATATGCATAAACAATTGTGAACATTGAAACGTCAAAAAAATTAAAAAAATCCGCATAAACAACCTTATTTTTAAATGTTTTTTATACTATCACGTCATTGTTATGATACGTCTTTTACAAAAATATAAACAAATTTAAAAAGTTTTTCATTCAAAATTGTGGATTCCAAAAATGGTCTAACAGTTAATTTTGCCAGCAGCTGTGATGCTCCTATCTGTATTATTTGATTTTGATAAAATGTAGGACGGTTTTTTTTCAAGTTTACACTCGTCTTGTGTAAGTAGCAAAGGAATACATTTACAAATTATTATAAGTTCCAATCATGGTACAATAAAAAGGTAAGGTAGAGCTACCAGCTGATTACATTTTTTTTCTAAGTGTGCCCGACTTCTGCCAATTATTTGTATGTATTTATTGTTTTGAAAAATAAAAACAGAATATTTCCAAAATCATTGATTGGAAGACGCGTAAATTGGAAGACGCGCATTAAAGCTATTCGCCAGTTTTGCCAAAGAATTGAAAGATAGAACTGTTTAGATCATATCTATGAAAGAAAATCCAGGCATTTTAGTCATTTTTCGCACTGTTTAACTGTTTAAAATCAATGAGGAAAAATATTGAATAAATTAAAACAACTTATCATGGTAAAATTAAGAAGGTGAAGTCATTTAAAAAATGCATTCCCATCTATGCATTTTCTGTAATTCACCTTGTCACATTTCACTACATAAAAACAGGTTCCCTTCTCTGATTTGTGTATGGACAATGGATTTATAAATACAAATTTTGACAATGAGTTGTTGTCGAATGAATAATTTAAAAAAAAAAAATTGTAAACATATGATTGCATGACTTTACCTTCTTGATTCTACCATGCTCCTTATTGTAGCATGAGTTCCTATATGAAATAAGGTTGCCATTACCGATTTGGCAAATCAGACTACACGATTAATTCCGTCATGATTCTACACAATACATAGGCATGTAAAAAATGTGTATTCTTTGACAATATCCTTGTAATCAGATGTTTTCGTACTTCACATATATTCGTTTATACGCAACATCCCTATACACCGACAAAATACGACTACTTACGCCACCTGTTTGCTAAGGGTTATTTTATAAATTTATTTTATAGCGCCAACTATAGTTGATAATTATGTATATAATAATTATGTAATATAGATGTCACTGTATGAATTTAAGGATATGTGACCATATAACTTTCATAAGTTACATAGTGACATCTTTGTTTTAATAGAAATACAGTAAATGTCGTGATTAAATGTAGGTGTCTCTGTAGTTGTTTTAATAATTTTTTCGTGTCGATTATTTCAAACGTGTTGGTTCACTTCGAAGTTGTGGACGATTTATTTCAACTGGTAAATATCTTCAAAGCGCGCACCACAATCTACGTTTTTTCCAATCATTGATTTTAAAAATATTTTGTTTTTATTTTTCAAAACAATAAATACATACATAAAATTGGAAGAGTCGGGCACACTCAGAGAAAAATTGCAATCAGGTGGTAGCTCTACCTTACCTATTTATTGTACCATGGTTTGAAGTTGGTTGCACTTATTTCATCTTACCCTGTCTACTGACATTTGGCATTATGTATTTCCATTTATGCCTTGATGTTTCGTATTAATTTATTTCCCCAATTCAAGACAGGCGCTTTAATGACCGTTATTCAAATTTTCTCTAAAATTGGTTCATATGTAAATCACCTTGCATTGATATCTTCACTTCATTCATCTCTCATTAATAACGCCGATGACGTGTTGACGTCGTTCGCCCGATGCCGATAGCGATAGTATGGCTCGGAACTCTGCTGCGACAAGTGTTGAGAATTTTCGTTTTTGTTTAATAAATTATTAAAAATAAATAACGCTTAACGGATTGTTTTTTTATTTAATACAACGAAGAAAATGTCATCGCGAAGGTAATAAAAAGTCTAAAGAGAAAGTTAGAAGCTATTATGTGTGTGTAAAAAAGAAGAATGAAAACTGTCCGAGAGAGTTTCCCATGAAATGTTGGGGCTGGCTACAGACCCCAAATAAAATTTGTTGTAATGCAAAAAAGATCGACACTGCAAAGAAAAAAATCTTTGCAAAAATAATGTGTGTGCAATATTAGATACTCCCCGTTACGGAATTAAAGATAGGCTGATGTAAATCAACATTTCCGAAATGAAAAGATCTGGGAAAATTCTAAAGAAAAATACCTTTGAAAGTTTTTCCCCACGCCCTTATGTTTTGCGTTTTGATTCTCTTTGGTGGCTGTCGTTTTGCAAAGAAGATATCTGATTAGAACAGACGATGGATGGACCAACTGAA